TGATTCTCGATGTAGATTTTAATAAATTCAATCATCAAACACTATAGCGCTTTGCGAACAGATGTGGCCACATGATTTTTGTGATGATGATCGGGGAAAATTTGGGTTTTTTTATATTTTCGATCGATTACGTTTATATTTCTTCGAAATCGATAAAATTCTTAAAATCGATAGAATCACCGATTCCCACATGACATCGTGATCTGCAGAGGCCATATCTTTTTACAAAGCGCAATAATTCAGATCCCCAAAAGTAAACAGGAAACTACCTTCAGTATTCCGATAACCGTCACCAGCAATCCACATGATCGGGATATATCGCTCATAATTTCACCAGTACCGTGAATTTTCATCATTCTACTTTCATCATCATCACATCTGTCGTGAAATTTCATCATAAAGATAACACCTTTGATCAAATTAATCCAGCTTGCCAATAAAACAGTATTACAAGTGTGGCAATGCAGTGGATGACAAACGGGTTTCAATGTCCTTATAATCTTTTTTCAAAATATCTCGGGTAAAATATTTCTAAACAACCAACTTTATAAAAAATTCGCCAAAGAATTTGAGAGTAACCAATGAGTGGGGTATACGATCAACGATTATCTTACCAAAGCATCAAAATCTTCTGTAATCCAACTTAAAAATCTATTAATATCTAAATGAGGATTTTGAGCGACACTCAAACTAACGATGTAATCACAAATCTCAGCTTCTTCATTTACAAGTTATCAAGTTTTAAGAATGGTACGAGTAACGAAGAATCTATAAGAAAAAATTATTAGATTCAAAAAGGTAGGGAGAATTTCTACTGCGCACAAATTGTGCGACTGAGATTTTCTTACTGCATTTCCTATTGGTCACATTACGATTACATCACTTGACTACATATCCAAAGAAGAGCTAACGCTAAATATGAAAGCAAGTTTCTTGCAAATAGTACCGTTTCGTACTATTTATCCAAGATCCCCATTTTAAAATCGAATAGTATTACCTGGTACTATCCATTGTTTCATTGAAGATGGGTACTTTATGAGGTAAGTTATTATTTTTAGGGATAC